AGATCACCAACCTTTTGAGCCGCTACATAGATTTAACAAGTTCAAGTATAATACTTCATTAAGATATGCTGTTAGTTTTTTACACCTAAACAGATTAAAAAAAGGAAAGACATTATATATGCAACATGCACAAAACTTTTCCACGCGTACCATAATGATTCTTTCCACCAGTACTCTATCTGATGAAATTTCTGGTTCAATTAATGCTAAACGTGCGGCTTTACCAGGGACGCCAGCACGAAGATATAATGTTATTGCACCATTAAAATCACCATCTTTTTGACGTAAATCACCAGCTTTCTCCTCTTGTCCAGTTTCCGTCAACCAGTGGTGATAATCTTTCTTGAGTTTGTCCAAACCAGACCAATTTTTAGCTTCGGCAATCTAATATAAATGACCAAAAAGTAAACAGACTCAAAATTCCAAAAACGAATCGGCTACCGGTAAACCACTCAATTTATTTGCAAAAATGTAGTTTATTGGATTATACATCTCATTTCTGATCAAGATTTAGGAGACTGTAAACGCCCAAATGGGTGTTCATTCCAATTTAACACTTCTCATTGATCATATAAGGAAATAAGAAACAGAACATCTAGTTCTCAATGTGACGTTTGGCATTAAAGATGCACTGACTTACTAAATCAAGTCCATACACTTTTCTACACTAACGAATGCCATTTATCACTTTGGGACTGTCTTTATTACTCAGATACTAGGATTATGGTTGAAAACTGTTGTTTTTGTGAGGCCAAAGTTTAGAAATGAAACGAACAGTATAAAATTAGTGTAGTCGTAAATCTTCCCCAAGTGAGGTGGCTCGGATATGTGATATGTGTGCCCAACCACCACTTATGTCGACGGGTGATATTGTCTGGTGTCGAAGTAGGTTAGAGTAAAGCTAGAAGCTACCAAACTAAGGCGTGGCATCAGTCGTTGACATAAGCTACAATTGTAATAAGCCATGTTAATGAGCGTAGACTACCTGGTTGAAATTTACGTGATTATCGCAATCAGTGGTTAGGAACGTAGAATGACATAACTCAAAATCAGTTCCAATGGCGCAGGTGCATCTCCTCTTTTTTGTTCTTTGGATTCCAAGTCTCTGGACTCTTGATAACCTTCTTATCTGATCAACTAATACTTTTACAAACCGTATCTTTGATACCTGATATTTTTCATCACCAATATTACTGTTACTCACTCTAAAAGCCTAGAATTTGCTCTGACAACTTCATTTCTTTGTGTTTATGGTGTATGGAAACTTAAACCGATTTACATAGGTCCTAAATTCTACGTCGCCTTTGACTAACTAAATATTTTTTGAGATGCTCAATGCCACAGAAATGATGTTTTAGACATTTCGTGAACTTTAGAATTCAATTCTATTTTCTAATTTTAGTAAAACTATTTAAGTTATAAGAGAACTTATATGACTAAAACAAATAACTCATCAAGAATTAACTTGGTTAACTTTAATTACTGCCAATTTACTTTCTAAACAAAGTAATAGAGATTAGGGAGCAATTTACTAGCCTCTCCTGTAAGGTGACTAGAATTTCTATGATAAAATATTATCAACAAAACGTAAATGTATGGAGATTAATTTGAATGAACGAAAATTTTGAAAAACTTTTAACCAACACAACAAGTTCATGTCAAACATATATGTGTTGAAAATCTCAGACTATGTATAAATAACTTATTAATCAATACGAAATATCCGACATCAGAAGTGTTTCTACTAATTACAAAAAAGTTATTATTTTTTCTTCATTCTCTTATGAATTTAGTTCGTTATTCAAAATTTTTATGCATTTTAATGAAGCTTTTGGAATCCACATATTGGTAATCCATATATTGGTAATATCATTGTCATAATAATAATAGTAAACGTAGTATGTAATATTTTCCAAACAAAAGATTGACTCAGCCTATCCCTGATTTCATGGTTAACAACCCTTAAATATATTTTTTAAAGTCACACTAGTTAATCTATGTAAAAGTTATAATTAAAACGAAACACGTACCCGAGCTCCCAATTTTCGGGAAAATTTGGCACATTTTGGGGAAATTCTGGAGAAATTTAGGGAAAACGGCACAAAAACTATAAAATTTCCCCAGACCTGGGGAAATTCCCCAAAAATTCCCCTTCAACCTTGGTCAAGGTCAGTTGACTTTGGGGATTTCCTCAAAATTTCCCTAAAATTGGAAGCTCGGGTATTTTTAGGGAAAATATTAGATTACTTAATAAGAACTACACATAGGTAAGATTGGAAACTTACATTTCAGAAAAGATTATGTGCTAATTAGCTTTGTATCACTATGAAATGCACTTGTATATGCTGAAATAACTGATATTTTTATGATAATTTATGAACATGTAAAGTAATAACAGGCACAAAATAATCAATAACAATGTTTTTTTTTATATTCATTGCCACAAATAAAATTTTAATCCATAAAATGCTTATACACAATCATAAAAGGTATAGGAAAGAGGAATTCAATTCTCAATTTCAGAAGCAATTTTTTATTTAAGAGACCAGTTTTGGTGCAACATAATCGTTTAGTTATTTAAAAGCAATTTTACTAGAAGTTACAAACCAAAAATAACTTTAATTCTTATGACCTCAGAATATTTAAATATGATTTAGTGATAAGTAACTTTATGATCTTGCTTTTGTGAACATTCTGATATTTACTAGTATATTTTAACAAACAACACTTGCAAAATAACCATTAAATGTTAAACTGACCTCAATAGCATCATCCCATTTAAGTAGATCCTTGTATAATTTTACGACATCTTCAATAGAATTTTGTGATAAAAATATGTTCTCGGCTGCTCGAAAGTCTTTCTCAAGGATAGCAATGCATGCCTGAACATTCGACTTGGATAATTTGTTTTCCATTAATAGGTTTCGAGTTTGCCGCAAATATCGTGACTTGCTCACACAACCTAAAGAAGCAAAGGACTGTTCTGAAATTAGTAAATTTCCCGTTTTTAAAGAGGCGAATCCTAGTTTAGTCCACATAGATTTTGTTTCAGGTGTTACATCTAGGCTTTCCAAAAATGAAACTGCTCTTTCGAGGTCTCCATCATCCATTGCAGTACCGAATTCAATACGATTGTCGTCCAAAGCATAAGCAACAGAGTTCACACCTTCATTTATTAAAACTTCGGTCCTGCCATTCTGACGTACGACATCTGTGATATCTCCACCTCTCAATGGGATTGATGTCATTCTGTCAGTCGATTCAGTGTTGTACCAAATGCAAAGACTATCTTTGGACTGAGCAATTATGACATCACTCTGAGGAACCCACTGTACATAGTAGCAAAAGTTAAGTAGCATAACTTTTACACCTGTTTCTATATCGAAAAGAATAAGTTGGAGCTTCTTGTCTCGAAAAAGTAGCTTTTGTCCAGTTTCATTTAATTCAATCCAATCAATTTTTCTATCATGAGAAACGTGTGCAACATTTGAATCTGTTATAAAATCGAAAATAGCTATTGTCTTCAGATCTAACATATAGGCGATTTTTTTACATGTACAATTATTGCTGGACTTTCGTTCGTTCACTCGAACACTTATTAGAAACGGAGTGGTAAATTCAGTTCTAACTGAGCCTAATATTTCATTAACTCCATATTCAATCACATACAATTCACCAGAACCAAATATTATGCAAAATTTATTATAACCAAAATAGAAGCGCTCCTTGGGGTTCTTTCTACTCCATGGAACTTCACTTAACTGATTCTCACGAAGATCACCAAGTATCAGTGTATTTGATGTATGTGTGACCAAGTATCGATTTTTACCCATTACTTTTACATCGTCGATTTCATAGCCGAATTTCGACTGAAGAACAATTGTGTCATCGGACTTCAAGTTTCTTACAATAACTTGACTTGGTCCAACATAATTTAATTCAAAAATTTTCTTGTATAATTTCTTTTTCACACAACAGTCAAATATGTCAACCCCACCACAATAGGTCCCAACAACCAATTTTGAACCGTCTTGCTTCCAGGCAATAGCCGTTATAGTGTACAAATTTTTTATTTCTTTTAACTTACATTCATCCCATCTACCTTTACGAGGGCTCCATGAGAGCACACGAATGCGGTTAAAGCTTCCGAATGCAACGACATGTCCACTAGGGTTGCATGACGCAATAGTAAATTCCTTTTCACTTTCATCTTTGCTGTAATCGAGTTGCTGTACAAGCTTTCCCTCTCTGTTATAGACATAGATACGTTTATCACAGCCAGCAGCTAGAATTGTGGAACCAGCCCATGCTAAAGCATACGGGGCTGTGGGGTGAGTCGTAAGTTTCCCTTGAGCGTCACCTGAACCATCATCATCAAAAAAATATCGAATTATTTTCCCATCTGCATGCCCAGAAATAAATCCTTTGCCCGAAATATTCGCTGAAATTGAAACAACATAAGAGTCAGCATTATATATGGTGGATGATTTATTTGTACGTGTGTTCGCAGCCCTAACCTTGCCATCAGCAAGGCCACAAATAATGGGTTGATTTACTGGCCATGCAATACATGTTACGGGACACTTTTGTGGAAATTTATTGCAAATTACTACTTTCTCATCCCACGACTCTCCAATTTTGTACACAAATATTATGTTGTCTGACTGTGCAATAGCAAGTTTGATAGAATCATGAGAAAATGCCATGCCTCGTACTTGAAATAAATTTCCATCATTTTTGGAATCAGAAGGTTTTGTAGAAAAACGTGTACGACGCTCTCCATTCTCATCAAAAATAATTACCAATCGATCACTAGTGCATACGGCTATTTTCTTGTTATTTGGAGACCAAGCAAGGCCCTGTACCTTAGCTTCATATTCTTGTGTTGGTATGAGAGTTTTCAAATGTACAAGATTCATCTCACTTTCACAAGTTTGAAATATTATCACCACTTGTTACTATGATACCATTTCAATGAGTAATTGAATATACAACGCAATATTTAAATATGGTAGAAAAAGAGGACAGTCGACTACAAAACCAAGACATTTAGGTGTATAATCGCTGTATGAAGCTCCAAAAATCCTTGTAAATAATATTATTATGCATAACATCTTTCTTTGAACACTTGTTTAAGGTACAGCTTCACACTCTAGTAATCAAGTAATTACCTTTTGAAGGCATAACTGTATGGTCTTATGAAATTTAAATTAAAAATTATTAGAACGTTTAGATAAATGAAATAACGGTGTGTTTTTAGAGTAAGTCTTTTAGAGCGCAATTTCAAACATGAGCGCCTGGTGCTTCACCTCTGCTGTTTGGAGATCAGGATTCCACAGATACGTATTACCGCGAAATATCCCGCACACTTTATCTGTATCCAATAAATTTTTTGGAAATCAACCACTTGCATACCCATGTCTAGCTCAAACACGGTCGATACAAATTCTACTCTCTAAACCTGAAGTGGAAAGTAAAGTTTTAGCTGTCTGTTCTGCGTTCGATAAAATCCAGTCCGATAAGGTTCTTGTGCATATTTATTTAACACTACATGCAGCTTACGCTTGATTCTTCGTTTATCAAAGATCTCGGTCTTGATAGTCTGGACCACATAGAAGTAATTATGGAAATCGAAAATGAATTCCGTAAGTTCTTTAAATCTACAAAATGTGTTGTTTCTCATGCAAACGGAGGTTTAGAATATTGTCGTTTCTCGAGTGTCGTTAGTCTTAACATCCGCCGGTATTCAGACTTGTGCAGTCAGGAAAGAAGGTCTACTGCCTATGTCGTTCCTTTTCTAGTATGCTCCTGTAAGTGTCTAGTCTTTACCTAAATGAGTCAATTAAAGGTTCGGACACCACTGCTTCGGGTAAAAGGTGTGAAACATGTATGCTGCGGATATTTTGTTCGTTCTTGCTTCTCATATTCGCTTGCTATGTCCTCTGAGATGTACAAATACTATGAGAAGAGAGATGATATATTAGGTCCGAAATCATTTCCTAATATTATATACATCAAAATCAGATCACTTAATCTGAGGTAGGACAAAGTAGACAAGTCTAGCTTTTTAAGCCGCTCGTTGTATGTTAAACTCCGGTGTTCTGGAATTGTACTGGTAGCTGCTTTCTGCACGTTTTCCAGTATATCCGAGTCACCTTTAGAACAGAAGCTTGCAGACTGAACTCAATTCTCCGGTTTAGTCCACACTACGATTGTGTATACTGTAGTAAACATATTAGTATCTAACATGGTGAATGTCCAACCGAAAGTTCATAGGGTTCTAAACCTCTTCTCCATCATCTCAAACCTCTTAGCTGCAACCTCCCGGCAATGGTCTGTGGTCTAAAGATCATGGTTTACTGTCACCCCGAGATCCTTGTGAAACCAGACTACGATACAGGCACTTCCCCTATGCTATATCTTTGTACTTTATCAAAGGACACTTGGGCACATTGAAGTGTATCAGCCACTTTTTAGACCAGCTAATCACAATATTTAAGTTTGTCTGAAGTACGCATGCATCTGTGTCTCCTGACATTTTTACATCTTCGGCGTATAGTACCATTGGGGACTCAACTATTCTTGGGATTTCATTTACATGCAGCATAAAAATTAAAGGATGTAGGACAGCCTCGCGGTACTCCACTAAGTACTAGTTTCCATGTGGAGCTTTTGGAATTTATTCTTACTTTTTGTCCACGACCTACTAGGAAATCCTTAACTCATTTTCGGAGAGGTCCGCAATGTCTAGATTTCCCAGCTTCAAGAGCAGTATTTTTGTTGGTACCTTATCAAACGCTTTACTGACGTTTTTGTAGACAACATCCACTGATTTTTTGTTGTCTATCCTCTATCCGTTGCTCCCTTGCTACAAAAAGATTTATCGTGCAAGATAAACCTTTTCTGAAACCGCGTTGTTTGCTGTTCAACAAGTTGTTGGTTTCCACGAATCTAATTATGGCCTTTTTGACTATTCGCACTGATGAAACAGACAAGTCTGTAGCTTGATCCTTTTTTGTATTGGATTGACGATTGCATCTTTCAGTTTGCAGGTAACTCACCTTGGCCAAGTGATATATTGAATATCACAGTTAGTGGGGCTGTAATTTTTCTCAAGATTTTGGGGTGTAGTTCATTCGATCTTGTTGGTTTTTCCGTGTCTAAAGTACTAATGGCTTTAAGCACATCGTCTCGATCGAAGTCCACGGTAAACAGACAGTTTATCGGCTTTGTTTTTAGGTCTAGTTCTTCATCTAGAAAAAGCTCCTGAGTGAATACTGTCTCGAAATATTTTGCCATAACACCTGCTTTCTCCTGATCATTCTCTATCATTTGAGATACACTCTCTTTCGTAATTAGGTTGGGAATCCAATGCTGCTTCCTTGTTCTGTAATTTATGTACGATAATAGCCTATTGTGTTATTTATTTATTTGAACATATAAATATTAGTACAAGAAGGCACAAAATATATATGCGCCACACAAAACAATGAGAATTCGAAGAGAGAAAAAAAGGTAAGGAGCGCTAAAACAAGAACAATAACGAACAAATTACTGTAAGGTAGTGTAATAATAATAATGGGGGGGACGGAAAGGTACAATCAAAAGAAATCTTTCAGTTAAGGAAGACACAACCATTTTTTTATGAAGGAAGTAAAAGATTACAGCAGGATCGCCACTGGCTTCTATTATGAGCCATATCTGATAACGTCTCTAGCCACTGTATTGCACCATCTCTAGGACCCCAACCAGGGAGTCGTGAAGGACCAACAGAAGCCATTCCCGAACAGTTTTCTCTCATACCACGATATCATGCCATAAACTGACCACTCCTCCGTTTTTTTCAACCGATCCTAGTGTCGGCAAATAATGCACGACGTGGAATTTTCTGGGACGACATTCGTAAAACATGTCCAAGCCGCCGAAGTCGGTGTTTCGAGATGGTGACACCAATTGCATTATCGTCTCTGTGCCCGAACACACGACGCCGAACCTCTGCATTACTGACATGGTGTTGCCACTAAATGTCAGCAATCCTTCAGAGACAGCGATGACCGAACACAGAGAGTCGTCGAACATCCTCAACTCGGAGAGGCCAGGTTTCACAAGCATAGAGCAAAACTGCTCTCATCGAAGCGTTGTAGATCCGACCTTTTACAGCCAGACTAACATCACGAAGGCGCCAAAGGTGGCCCAGATTGGCATACGTCGCTCTGGCTTTCACTATACGTGCATTGATCTCATCACTCACGCCACCACCAGCACTTATGCAGCTACCTAGATACACGAACTTCTCGACTACTTTTATCTGCTCGCCATCCAGGGTGAGTAGAGGATTAGAATCCTGCCAGTCTTGTAGAAGCACTTTGTACTTCGAAGATGCGAAGCACATACTATACCTACGGACACTGACTGCCAGCTGATTAAGTGTGGATTGCATGGCTTGAGCATTATCACACAGTAAGGGGATATCATCCGCATACTCAAGGTCGAGAAGTCTTTCTCCAGGCAACAGATCCACACCACCACTACTTACATCCATCAGAGCTGTTCCCAGAATGTCATTGATGGCAAAGTTGAAGAGGAATGGTGAGATTGGGCAACCCTGTCTGACCTGACTGATTGATTGGAACAATGGAGAGAGGTGGTTGTATGCCCTCACTCTGCCTGAGGTTTTTGCATGTAAGGCCTTTAGGATTTTACTAAACTTCTTCAATAGACAATCCCAGAGAACAGTCCTATCCAACGAATCGAAGGCAGCCCTAATGTCAAGAAACACTACGATTGTTAGTCTTTGATAAGTATGACGGTGTTCTAACATTTGGCGGAGAGTGAATATATAATCAATGCATCCTCGACCAGAATGAAAACCAGCCTGCTCCTCGCGAGTCAATCTTTCTCGAGTTTTAAACAACCTACGAAGTATGACGGATAGTTGTTACAGGGACGACGTGAACCCTTTTTAAAAATAGGGACAACTATCGACTCATTCGACGACGTTGGTACCCTCTCTAGTTCCCAGACCTTTGTAAACAACGTCGTCAGTTCCTTAGCCAGAAAGTCACCACCATCTTTAAAAAGAGCCGGAGGTGAATCATCTTGGCCCGGTGATTTGTAGCGCTCCAGGAGTTGGAGTTCCTTGCGGACTTCCGCCTCATTTGGTGGATCAGTCGTCACCGACAAGTCGCCATCGGCCACCTAAACGACTCTCTTCTGTGCCTATACGGCCGACCTGAGCATTCAAGTGTTCGGCTAGTACTACAATTTCTGGAGAAGAACAGATAACTAGTGGTATAATTCATCCTTGATTGCATCCAGGCTGCAATCCGTCGGAGCATAGGTGGAGATGACGAAAATACATCGTTTCTCACGCCGATTTCTTTTCACTTTGATGGAACTTTCTAATCTAACAGCACATAACCGACTGTTAATGGGGATCCAATCGATTAGTGCTGCCTCAGCTCTAGCGCTTAGTGCGGCACCAACGCCTGCAAGACCAGACGAAGATGCCACAGGGTCCCCGGATAAGCGCACGTAAAACAAGCTTTTTGAAGTGACAGATGTAGAGCGAATTTGTAGTACTTCGCCAGAGTCTTGAATACGGGTCTCGGATAGATATTAAGACTTTCCAAAGACATATCTAGCTCTGTCTGCTGTCCGACCTGCATAAGTGTGCGAACGTTGAAGGCAGCCAGTTTGAATGGTGCACGTGGTTTCAGAAAAACTGCTTCAGTATTCGTACTTGGTGGTAGCATGCAATTTTCAACCAGTGACTCGAGAACGTTTAGATAGAGTCGAATTTCCACCATAGGCGAGCTGCTGTATAAGTCGAAAAATAAGAATACATAGAGCGGGAATAAAAGAGAGAATAAATGACGTAAATAATAATAATATCAATAATAGTGGTAATAATGATAATGTGAATCGTTTGGTTGTTATTCAAAGCGAGAAAAGTAGTCTCCATAGATATAGAGAGTTCATCATTTGCGTGTGGGCCGTGATACTGCCCGGGTGCCCAAACCGAAGCAGGTGGTTTTCTTAGGGGGCCACACATCGAGCCTTTGACCTAAAGGTCTGACCCACAAGGCAGTGGAGCATCGTGAGGAGATGCTGTCCCATGGTAGCCGGTGACCAACGACTGGTTCATACGCTATTTGTTCCCGCCGGATACAGGAGCCCATATGCACCATTGGTTTGGGATGCAGCTAAAGTGCCGGACATTCGCTTTTCGTTCTCTCAATTTCGTAAACAACAGTAATGCCACGATAAGTCAGTGAGTAGGACTTTCCTGACAGAGGCTGTATACGCGTGGCCATTCGAGAGGGAAAGCGAACTTTTCCCACTCTCGACCATACCAGGGCATTTGGGGGCAATCAGGTGTTATTGGTTTCAAATATGAGCAAATGCTACAGAGATGTTGATGACTAAGCATAACTGTTAAATATACTATTATAACTGACCTCGTTGACCCAATTAACTCTTGGAATTTCGGAGACACTGATGATATCAAAGCTTAGATTTCCATAAACATCCACCTGAATTTTTTTTACTTAAATCAAATTCACTCCTTCAGAAATATAGACTTTCATTTATTTAAGTGTTGTAAAGTATTCGTACACGTGATTAGTACATGGTAAATAAACACCAGTCGATCTGATGCAATTTCAGCAATATTGTGCTGCCGTCAGTATACTGCAGATCGAAAAACTTCTATGCTTGAAGATGTCTGTAAAATATCTTTGATGTTAAAGCTACAATAGGTTGATAAAGTCAAACAATCCCACTTAATTATATTTCTAGTTTGAAAAAGTAGTTAGTAAATGATTTGTGTTTTCTTTCATTTTAAAGTTTCCGTTTAGATCTAGCATACTATGTTGATCAGAATAACCCTAACTACTAAGACACTTATGCGCACTGCGCGTTATCGTGTTTGTTTGTTTTGTCTAAAACTTAAATATAATTGTTATCCATATTAATATGACGACTGCTGACCTCATATGCATATAGCAAAATTCAAGCTCCTAGCAGAATGTAGAGATTTATCTGAAATTCGGAATAAGTCAGTCAGCTACAACGTAGGACCAGGCACCTATGTGCATTGGTCCAGGTTGCCATACCGCATCAGCACAACAAGATGAACACCGGATTCACAGCAGTGGTTAGGTCAAAGGTGGTAATATATAAAAGAAAGATTGCGTATAAGGATATAGTACAGGAAGAAAGAATTGGTTCGTAGTAAGAAAGATACGAAACGAATTTAATCTCTTGGTTTAAGGGAAGACAGGGAGTGTATACACCGAAGCCATTGTGATCGATTCTGAGCCATGTCACCAAGTCTCCAACCATTGGTTACGATAATCACGCGGACCCCAACCAAGTAGTTTGCATCTACCAACATGGCTCAGACTAGAAGTTAATGACTTGAAGCACTGATGCCACGTTTTGGTTTGGCCGCCCCTAACTTTCTTCCAACCATCTCCAATACCGGTTAGCATTGCACGTCGTGCTAATCGGTATTCGGGCATACGTAACACGTGGCCCAACCATCTCAGTCGATGAAGATTAACAAACTCGTCAACTGATTTACCATCATTCCCTAATACCCTGCGTCTAACCTCACTATTACTTACCCAGTGATCCCAGCAGATGCGAGCAGTATTTCTAAGGCATCTGTGGTCAAATACTAGTAGCTTACGAGTGTCTTCTACTCTTAATGGCCATGTTTCGCTGCCGTAAATTAAAACAGAACGAACTGTTGCGCAGTATACTCGTCCTTTTATTGATAGACGGATATCTCGCCTTCGCCATAGGTGACGTAAGTTGGCAAAAGCCAAACGAGCTTTTCGAGTCCGTGCTGAGATTTCGTCAGAAACCAACCCATTAGGGCTGATCAGACTTCCAGGATAAGTGAAGTTGCCAACGCGTTCGGCTACTTCACTCCCTATCCTTAGTTCAGGTGTTGACGCAGACCAGTTCTGAAGCAGCAGCTTGAATTTAGAGGGAGAGAAGTTCATTCCAAACATTCTGGCATTGTTGCTTAGTGCTACCAAAGTACTCAGCATTTTATCAGCGTCTTCACCAAACAGGACTATGTCATCTGAATATTCTAAGTCGATAAGTGGACCTCGTGGAAGGAGATCAATACCCAAGAATTCAGTAGACGAGAATGTTATTTCCATCAGTAGATCTATGATGAAGTTAAACAAAAATGGAGAAAGTGGACAGCCTTGACGGACACCACTTGAGGTTGCAAAAGCAGATTACAGTTCGCCATAAGCTCTGACTCGACTGGTAGTGTTCGAGTAAAGAGCCTTCACAAGGTTTATGTACTTCCGAGGTACGCCTTTCAATGACAGACACTGCCACAGAATCTCGCAGACTACCGAGTCAAATGCTGCTTTTAAGTCGAGAGAGACCACCGTTATAGAACGCCGATAAGTATGCCTGTGTTCTAGAATCTGACGAATGATGAATATGTGGTAAATTCGGAATAAAAACTACATAATAGCACTAGCAACTATTTTCTCCCATGTTTTACATTAATTCGACATAATTTTCGCAACTGTTTTACAGAATTATTCCTAAAAAATGCATATTTTGTTGCATTCTTACTCCACTTTAACATCCAGACAATCAAAAAACTTCATTTCATTCAATTAGCTAGAACTCGTCATCTATTTTATGCGTGAAAGTGTCAAAAATGTCTCAATACTTGGGCATATTACAATTTATAGGACGTGTTTACGCGTAAAACTTATTAACACTGGTTTCTCATTAGCTTATGAGTCTGACTTTATACCCCAGCCTCATTTTTGTCTTTTTTCACAGTAAAATTTTGAATATATTCACCACATTCGAACCGAGTTTCCCAAATGGTTCTCCACATTTAAAGGACTGCTTAAATGTTTTAAACGAAAAATGTCCTATGATACCAAGTGGTAAATTTGTAATTTAGATTACTGTCATATGGACTCATCCACAATTATTCTAGATTTTAAACAACTTATCGCACCTTTTTGATCCATTCTAATATTTTCTGTATTCGTAAACTATGTGGCACACAAAACTCTTTTCTAATTAAAATATTTGAAGTTTCTGTCAGTTAACTAGCATCTCTATGGTTACCATTTGCCTATTTTTATTTGACGAACTTGTTATCTATACTAAGGCCAGACCAAAACATGGCACAAGTCCATGAAGTCACTGACAAGTGGACTGAGTCATGTTGGTAGGTGTAGACTACCTGGTTGGGGACCGCGAGATGATAGCAACCGATGGTTAGAGACCCTGAATGGCATGGCTCAAAATCGTTTGCAATGGTGTGCGCCGATGCATCCACTCTTTGTGTTCTCCCAAATTCTAATCCTCTGAGTTCTTCATGTCCCTTATTTTTGCTCTTCTTAAATTTATTTCACTGGATTATACTCCTTGAATATCACCTTGAAACCCTAATTTTTCTGATTACAGCTTATAATTTTACTACATCTAGCACTACGGGATTTGAATCGACCACCGCATCTCTGCGCTAATGTGGTGTGGCAACTCGAACTGATGTACGTACGTACGAAGTTCTACGTCGTTACTGACTGACTGACTATCTACACTAAACATGGTGTAAAAATTTCTTCCCTTCACTCTTAATTTATGCTCAGGTGGTCATATAATGTGTTAAAAATTTCTATCGAATCAAATTCACATCTTTCCAGCCCTTATATTGTATTTATTTAAACACAAATATTGATACAAAGGGGCACCAAAATATATATTGGCCACACAAATAGGTAAATGAAATTGTGAGGAGCGAGAAAGGAGTCTCAAAATAATAAATAAGTTGAACTAAGTTAATGAGTAAAAAATAATGGGTGATGCAGTTTTGTTATGAAAAACATAACCAGAAACGAACCTTTCAATCACAGAAGTCCCTCTCACTTTTATAAAGAAATTAAAAGAAAATCTCGACAGGGTTACAACTAGCCTCTATTCTAAGCCATCGATGACATTCTGGAAACAGCTCTGATGAATGTAAGTAATGGTGGTGTGGGTCTGTTGCCTGGAGAAAGACTTCTCGACCTTGAGTATGCGGATGATATCCCCTTACTGTGTGATAATGCTCAAGCCATGCAATCCACACTTAATCAGCTGGCAGTCAGTGTCCGTAGGTATAGTATGTGCTTCGCATCTTCGAAGTACAAAGTGCTTCTACAAGACTGGCAGGATTCTAATCCTCTACTCACCCTGGATGGCGAGCAGATAAAAGTAGTCGAGAAGTTCGTGTATCTAGGTAGCTGCATAAGTGCTGGTGGTGGCGTGAGTGATGAGATCAATGCACGTATAGTGAAAGCCAGAGCGACGTATGCCAATCTGGGCCACCTTTGGCGCCTTCGTGATGTTAGTCTGGCTGTAAAAGGTCGGATCTACAACGCTTCGATGAGAGCAGTTTTGCTCTATGCTTGTGAAACCTGGCCTCTCCGAGTTGAGGATGTTCGACGACTCTCTGTGTTCGGTCATCGCTGTCTCTGAAGGATTGCTGACATTTAGTGGCAACACCATGTCAGTAATGCAGAGGTTCGGCGTCGTGTGTTCGGGCACAGAGACGATAATGCAATTGGTGTCACCATCTCGAAACACCGACTTCGGCGGCTTGGACATGTTTTACGAATGTCGTCCCAGAAAATTCCACGTCGTGCATTATTTGCCGACACTAGGATCGGTTGAAAAAAACGGAGGAGTGGTCAGTTTATGGCATGATATCGTGGTATGAGAGAAAACTGTTCGGGAATGGCTTCTGTTGGTCCTTCACGACTCCCTGGTTGGGGTCCTAGAGATGGTGCAATACAGTGGCTAGAGACGTTATCAGATATGGCTCATAATAAAAGCCATTGTTGATTCTGCTGTAACTTTCTCCATAAAAAATGAATGTAACTTTCTTTCTGGTTGTATTTTTGCTAACTGGACTGCCTCTCCCATTAATATTTCATTCTCGTACACTGTTCGTTGTTGTTATTCTTATAATACGCACTGTACATTCTCTATCTATTCACATTCTCGCTGTTATTGTGTGGTGCATATGTGTTTGGTGCTCTCTTATACCGATGATTATGTGCTCTGATAAGTAAATAAATAAATAGCCTACGAAGCAAATATTCCCAGCAAGCAAATTCACGTGTTACTTTTTATAATCTACCAGTACTGTTCGGAACATTCTACGTAGTTTAGTTTATCAAGTTTATACTACTTATATTGTTGCTTATAACTCATTTTCCCTAGTTAAGTTCGTCTATTGTTTTTTTACATTGTCAGTCTATCTGTATCTCACCTATTTTGTGCCTTAAATTTTTTTCAGGGTTTGAAATAAGTGATGTGGACGCCGAAAAATTGCACACACCCCGTGATATTGTGGAACATGTGTATCATTCAATTAAAAAAGCAGAACCTTCAAATTAAGATACTGGTGAAATATTAAAACACTTCTAATTACTACTAAAAACATTCTAGACCATATATTATTGTAGATATTGTTCTCCTGAACACTCTACTTTTCAATTTGTGAGTGGTGCTTGAGCTCATAGAAGAATATCTCTATCTTTCTCCAGAACCTTGTCATATTATATCACTAGGTCTTCAGTTGAAGTTGTTTCATAGTAACATAAATTTAAATGTATAAGGGAAATCAGTAGTTTGGTTATGTTAACTTTAAAAATACTGTCTCAACATTCGTTGCGCGTAATGATGATTTTTTTTTCAAATATGGATATGAAACAAAGTTATAGTTAGCATACCCTTTGTCGTGATTAGGTGAATGAACCTGTAATAAAAACAAATTTGGAGAGAACACAACTTTCTGAAACTCATTTTGTATTTTGCCAGCCATTGGGATTAATACCCAATCTTGCCAGGTAACACATTTTTTAAGAAACTCATGTCTATGTTACACGAAGGCTTCAGCTTTCCTAACTCGATATCTCTTCAACCTGTTGAAGGGATTGATAAAATACAAGTAAAACTACTGACTACGAATACTCAATGACTTATTAATCGATCCTACCCTGTATCAAGGTTTTGAGGATATATTACTACGAAAGTACATCGCATTGTCTAAACTGGGAGCAATGAATAGACCTGAAGGCCTCTATGAATTATTGATAGACATGACACAACTTTGAACATTCTATAAATGCGTGGTGGTTCGGAATCATGAATTATCGTCCTCAAGTTAATTGATAAGCTTCGTCAGGTTCTAGAACATAGGCATACTTATCGGCGTTCTATAAGGGTGATCATTCTTGACTTGAAAGCAGCATTTGACTCGGTAGTCTGCGAGATTCTGTGGCAGTGTCTGTCATTGAAAGGCGTACCTCGGAAATACATAAACCTTGTGAAGGCTCTTTACTCGAACATTACCAGTCGAGTCAGAGCTTATGGCGAACTGTAATCTGCTTTTGCAACCTCAAGTGGTGTCCGTCAAGGCTGTCCACTTTCTCCATTTTTGTTTAACTTCATCATAGATCTACTGATGGAAATAACATTCTCGTCTACTGAATTCTTGGGTATTGATCTCCTTCCACGAGGTCCACTTATCGACTTAGAATATTCAGATGACATAGTCCTCTTTGGTGAAGACGCTGATAAAATGCAAAGTCTTTTGGTCTCGGGTGCTGTTATAGGCGTGAGGGCGATTATCGCTTCCCGGTTGCCCACACCGAGGAAGGGTTCTTCTGGAGGTACCGCAGTGCCCAAGGGACAACTGCTTGGGGCCGGTCGCGCACGGCCTTTTCGTGGTAGGTTTTTGACTTGTTAGCTCCGTTCTTCAAAGGGCCTTACCGCCGGAGACGGAAATCCGTGAGGTAAGGTAAGGTGTGCATTTTTAGGGTCGACCTTTTCTAACCCCACCCCTCCTTGTGGGAAGGTAGCATCGCTGTCATGCTGGTTGTCTGAAGGAAACACCTTACTACTGTCACACCTCTGTACAGTCGGCAGTACGACTTCGCCTTCGGACCTTGGGTTTGTTGCTTTTAGTCTTGCCGATCTGTCTGACATGGTAGGACCTTGAGGAACGGTTGTTCCAGCCAGTTTAGCTCGGTTGCTCCATCACGATAGGCAAGCCCGACCACCACGTCAAGGTAGCAACAATGGTCGGGAAGTCTTTTGGTAGCACTAAGCATCAATGCCAGAATGTTTGGAATGCGCTTCTCTCCCTCTAAATTCAAGCTGCTGCTTCAGAACTGGTCTGCGTCAACACCTGAACTAAGGATAGGGAGTGAAGTAGCCGAACGCGTTGGCAACTTCACTTATCCTGGAAGTCTGATCAGCCCTAATGGGTTGGTTTCTGACGAAATCTCAGCACGGACTCGAAAAGCTCGTTTGGCTTTTGCCAACTTACGTCACCTATGGCGAAGGCGAGATATCCGTCTATCAATAAAAGGACGAGTATACTGCGCAACAGTTCGTTCTGTTTTAATTTACGGCAGCGAAACATGGCCATTAAGAGTAGAAGACACTCGTAAGCTACTAGTATTTGACCACAGATGCCTTAGAAATACTGCTCGCATCTGCTGGGATCACTGGGTAAGTAATAGTGAGGTTAGACGCAGGGTATTAGGGAATGATGGTAAATCAGTTGACGAGTTTGTTAATCTTCATCGACTGAGATGGTTGGGCCACGTGTTACGTATGCCCGAATACCGATTAGCACGACGTGCAATGCTAACCGGTATTGGAGATGGTTGGAAGAAAGTTAGGGGTGGCCAAACCAAAACGTGGCATCAGTGCTTCAAGTCATTAACTTCTAGTCCGAGCCGTGTTGGTAGATGCAAACTACTTGGTTGGGGTCCGCGTGATTATCGTAACCAATGGTTGGAGACTTGGTGACATGGCTCAGAATCGATCACAATGGCTTCGGTGTATACACTCCCTGTCTTCCCTTAAACCAAGAGATTAAATTCGTTTCGTATCTTTCTTACTACGAACCAATTCTTTCTTCCTGTACTATATCCTTATACGCAATCTTTCTTTTATATATTACCACCTTTGACCTAACCACTGCTGTGAATCCGGTGTTCATCTTGTTGTGCTGATGCGGTATGGCAACCTGGACCGATGCACATAGGTGCCTGGTCCTACGTTGTAGCTGACTGACTCCGTTAATTATTTATAAATACTTGAGATTCATCGAAACTTTTCAAGCCAGAACTATATCCTCCGTGCACTGTTTTATTGGGGCTAAATAAGCACTATAGTCTGCTTATTTAACGGGATTCTCCAACTTGCACCTTTTATATATTAATGCGAATCAAACTCTCGGTATTCTTTTGCGGCCATGAATTGCTCTTCCCGCAGTCTAAGCGAAATAAGACCCTACACAGAATTCCTTAGCTAAAATCTCTTTTTAGTTTAAGCAGAAACGGTGTTTACAATCCCTAACACAACATTTATGAAGTCAGTAGCTATACATCAAGTATGAGAAGCTTTAGTTAGATTGCATAATTTAAAAAATGGTGGGGATATCCTTGTTGAGGTCCATGTTATTTTACATTGCTAAGTATTTCACGAAGGTGAGTTTGCGTTCATGTCGTGTCGGTGATGGATCGTGAACATGTTGATATCTATTTTTAATCCCGTCTACGACGTCGAGAATTTACTTCGTCAAACAACTCTCACCTGACTCAAAAAATTTGACTATCTTTTGAAATGACTGCACCCGTTTAATACTGACAGTGTAAACGGGGAATTCATTTACACAATGTAATGATTTAATACACGTATTGATTCTTGCCTCTGTCAGAATAAGATGGTCTTTGTGTAGCACTTTGAATAATGTTCGCTAAATTTATACCTCTGACCTATTTCCCACGATCTTGAGAGGTTGCGAGAGTTAACTCAGTCAATCATAAACACCATGGCGTTGATGTCAGTTGAAGTTGTCATACTACACTAGCATTGAAGTAGAATTGACAAGATAAATATCACTTGAGTCGAAGTTACCGTAACAACAATGATAGTAGAAAGGAGCAAATATTTAATATGTAGTTCGAGAACAGTGAGTAGAATTGTATGTATGAATGGATACTTAGGCAAACTAAATAACTGAACTTAGGAAGTAAAAATAATGTATATGTAGTATCACAGTGAGTAGAAAAATTAAGTCTTTAGGTTTCTGATGTATCGAGGCTCAACGTAAACCACTTCTTCAGAAGATAATCAAAACAATTAAATTAACCCAAGTTTATATAGTACTAATTAAACTTAATTTTTCTACTCGTCGAGATATTACAAACAGATCTTCATCCATAGCAACCTACCCGATGCCCAATTTATTTGAAATTATCAAGTCAAACCTTGGTAACGACACCTATGAACTTAGAAAGATTTAGGAACTAGTAGCTACATTGAGATCTTAGTTTGTGAGAACGAATCAGAATTAGTTCCCACAGAATGATATGCATGAACAATAGGATGTGTCTATCAATCCGTGTGGATTCGGTTCAAATAAGAAGACTAAAAACATATACACGCAAGTTGGTCACTTTCAGGAATCGGCATAGCATAGAATTGAGGAATTGTGTTGAATATGCTTACGGCTGAAAATAAAGAACAAATGCATCACCATTGTGCCTGATTTCAGGCTGTCACTTGCCAATCAGATGATCTTATGAAACCAGTCTAAACCTTAAACTAATGCGCACATCCAAGTCTAAGCGTCAGTAACCTTACAGACATCTCATGTTTCGACCTGGAAGTTCTCCAAGCTTTTACGGATAAGTACCCCTTCCCAGCCGGGTCGGTGCGCAAAGCACCAGGTCCTCGCCTAGTCACTTGTAAGTCCAAATGCCTTGCTAAGTAGTGAAGTCTGACAAGAGCGTATCGTTTTCCTTGCAACGTCTAGGCCAATTACTCGAACTCACCGGAGGCGAGCATCAATCCTCACTAAGTAATGGTAATCTATGAACAACTATCTTTAAAACTCCATTCCCAGCAGGCTTTAAATGATATAGGAAAGACCGGTATGGGATGTAGTCATTTACTGATTGGCAGGGAAACGCGACCGCACTACTATTAGTCAACGACACGGATTGTACTATACAGAACCACACTCTAGCCCAATATTTCAAACTGATTTTTCCTAGCTAGAACCCATTATGTGAGGTGGAATCGAAGAAGATGCATTAACAATTTCGCAGTTCATCTGGTCAGTTGAGGTAGACATTTAAACGATTGAGGAACATGAAAACAAGACAGTTGCCGAAACGTTTACTCTCAAGGAAGTCCAGTTCTATGCAGGGACCACCCGCATGCGATAGTCGGGACCCGAACTTTACAGTTATGACGACCAACGTACTGCACGCTACTCAGTCCTATTCGCGTCTCAATAACAATAAGTGATTCACAACTGTATACTAACCCTGACTCGTTAACTTACTAAGAAAAAGTCAGATGTATTCCGATTTGGTGAGTTACTTCCCTTCTTTATCAGGTGTCGAAGGTATTGTGGTACATAATTTGTCGCCGGGCGCCATTTACAGCTCTTTCGGTAATTTTAGTGAAGTCATGGACCAACGGTGAAGATTCAGGGAATTACGAATGCTCCGTTAGTTTAAAATTTTAGCATTAGGTGTTGAAGCAGGTGGAAGTGAACACAAAACGGAAATAATAGGCAAGGCGTATCCAAGTATTTCTAGGTCAGTATGTGACATGTCCGAAATTTTTGCTGAGCGAACTCACGTTAACAAAAATCGAATGCTTGTGCCTTCGCCTTTACATATGTGCGACTAGCGGGTTCTGATGGAATAAGATAACCACTCTAATGCAGCACATTAGGGTTTTTTATTAGTTATACGCCAATCAGAGCAGCGACACAATTTTGTGTGACAGGATCAACCTTCCATACACCCACTTCAGACAGCCTAGTCGTATACTTGCTCCTGATACAAGGTTAAGGGGATAAGTCTGTACATGGTTATATCACACGGTGTACTAGACACTTGCTAAACACATCATTGGTCCTATCTGTAGCTCAGAAAAAAAGTAACGGCGGTTTCAGGACTAAACAGGCCCCACAAACTGATCACGTCACAGAATTGGCGTATTACTTGAGTAGTCTTTTAATCAAACTACATTGGTTTATACGAGTATTCGATTACATAGGTTGTTATTTTTGCGATGATGATAAACACCGAATGGTAAAATATTTTAAGTGGGTAATGTAAAACATTCAATTTATAAAACAAAACTGAATGCAAATCACAGAAACAAGTTTACTGGGACGATGCATTAAAGAACAAAAAATAAATACAGGTTAGGAATCGGAGATAATATTATACAAGTGTTAAAATATCTGTCAGTGACGATCTTCACTTTTTCGATTGGAAGAACGATGGTGTCGTTTTCTACTTCTGTGGGAATGTTTTCCATTACGGTGACGACTATGCCTCCGACTATGAGAATGACTCCGTGAACGACTCCGACTTCTGGATTTCTGTCGACGTTCACTTTTTTCAAGCTCACGTTCGCGTTCGCGAATACGCTCTTTTTCACGTCTCTCCTCCACTGTGATAAAAATGGATCTGTTGTACCCTTCAAACCTGCGCCTACGAACAATATGATTTTCGCTCACATACTGCCTCAACTCAGCTAATTTTTGCCGAATCTCAATGAAACCCAGATGCAATTTTCCTCCAAAATGGTCTGCGAGTCGACGATCATTGTCGTGCACACCAAGATAAGCAGAACAAACCTCACAGACACGGAGCTTCTGTTGCTGATAAGTGCTTGTTGGTATTGCAGTCCGCAAATCTGCTTCACTTTTAGCTTTTTCTAAGTTTAATTCTTCAACCTCCTTCATAAGTTTCAAAGATTCTTCAACATGGCCATCTGCGCCAAGCTGTTCAGCCTTAGCTAACTTTGTTCCTATTTGCTCGCTTAGTTGGTTTATATGTTCAGCCTTTTGTGAAGCTTCATCTGTTAATTCTTCCTGTGTCTCCCGCAGCTTTGCCTTCGCAACATCCGTACGTTGGTCGCAGTCCCGAATGAAAGCCTCTAAATGCTCTAGTGCCTTCGAAATATACGTATATCAAGGTAACTTACATCGAGCTCATACTGGAATTTCTTCGTGTCTGGTTCTTTGCGATAATCTGCCTTATGAGCAGGATCATGTATGAAAAGGCAGTTTCCCAAGTCCATTCGCTAAACATGGTTAAAAAAATCAAAGACCTACCGTTCCCGACAATATTTCATTTGGACAACAATCCAGTAGATAACTTTTACAGACGCGAGGATTATCAAACTCTATCCTTGGTTCTTGTCCTAAATAGGCGTTACCAGTATATGCGGTCAACAATTTTCATAGAATAGGAAAAATTAACGCATTTACATTTAACATCTAAACCATCAAATAACCCTCAGACCCTTTACTTACATGAATTGACATTCAACCGCACAAACACATTCATGAACACCTTAAAAATAATGAAGAGACAAATTGAGTGCAAAGCTCAGAAAAACCTTATCTACGCACTTAGAAAGTCGTGGGCCATTTGACAATACATATCAAGCAACAAACTTTGAGGAAATAACTTACCATTTCGGGTTGTTCCCATATATTCATCCAGAAGGGCACGGATTTGGTCAGTAGCTGACATATTGCGAGCATCAATTGGGTTGCCGACGTTTAGTACACAACATAAACAAACAAGCGCAGCAACTTCAACATCCAATACCTTCAACCAGCTGAAATATTCACAGTAGAACAGTTGACTAGTTTAAAGCCTAATAATAAATATTTTGTTGTGTTTAACCACGCTGCTTATCAAAAATTTTTAATAGAATCGGCACTGCTTGCTTGAATTACTTTTTAAAACAGAGCTGGCCCTACAATTCTATTCATGTTGTCAACGCAAACCGTGCATATTCACAAAACGACAATTTTCAATTGACATCAGTTAAATTATATTTGTTATTAATTTTGTTTTTCACTACCCTTATTCGAACAGCTTTCTATCTGCATGCAGACATTCACTTCTGAGTATTATAGTTCCTGTGTGATTCAGGTTGGTGGCTTTCACACGACATGTCCTATCTACTTCCAGCGTCTTTTTTTGACTTCTTCCTCAGCTAGCACCTGATTTATTCTCTGACAGAGTGTGTTATTACTTATGTTCACTGATAAATGAATCTTTAGTATCTTGCATGGGCAACTGCTTAGAAATACATGCACTTTCGAAGTGACGGTGGCAGTAGATTTTTGATCCCTGGTGAAAAGTGGAGGTATATTTCATGCTGTTATGAAAACAAAGTGCATCGCATCGTGTATTTTTCTGGCCAAGGAAAGTATTCTGAGAGGTTATTTTTCATTTAATCTACAAGCCATTCCATGAAGTATCTCTATTTGCTGGTTTTTCCTGTCATATGTTTTGGTGCGTTGCGGCACTCGCCTGAAGCTAATTTGTGTTGCGTTGGGTCAGTTAATGTGACTGAGAAAATCTGTCACAGTTGTTCGTAATCAAGGTTCGTGTTACTAAAGTTACTTAAAAATTTCAGAAAGATATTTTGTTTGGTCAATCCGTTGTTGCATACATATTAAGCCAAGTCATAGATCAAAGTAGGCATCCTTCTGTGAAATATGTTTGGCTTAGCCAGAGCCTAGATTAATGGGTAAGTTATGAAGCTATATACACATATTAAGAATCTAGTGATACTAAGTGGCTGTATGTTTTTTCCTCGTTGTATAGTCCTTATGACGACTTATTCTAAATCCTCTTCACATTCATATATGAATAATTAATGCTAGTATTCACTTTAAATTGTAGAAGGTCTATCAGTCACCAAACCGTGGAGTTGTGCAGTCAAAAAATGATATTAAACATGCAATTAGTCCACCGAACATGAGGGATATAAAAAGAATATTTATAACATATCATAAGATATTTATTTTACATTCACCTACACGCCTTTATTTGATTTTAGGTTTTTTAACATGTCCTACATGGAAACATGTGGAAGCTGTACATAAGGACACAATCGCACAAAATGAAAAATATTAAAAACAACAGTAGTTAATAACTCCATATATTAGTACGCCCTTAATCAACTTACATTAAGAACCAAGATTAATTTCAGTTTGTACATCTATGTAGTATATCACGTGTTTTCGTCTAGTTCAAGGATTAGAAAGTAAACCTATTGTCTTGTGTTAAGTCACCACTTATATCTAACCTACTGATATAAAGTGAGAGTCACATGTTACAAATCTAATCTTCATGTCATATACATGCTCCATGACCTTTAGATTCGCAATGATGTATCCCTCAAAAGTATATGGTGATTCTGTCTGGCTATGTACTATGCCTTGTCAGGTTATATTCCGTTTGATAACCCTCAAACAGTATGTTAAATACAGATAATATCTAAAAGATGTTATTTAGTTTGCCACAATTTGAATAGGTTTTTCCAAGAATTGCTTCGTAATTCTGACCTTACGTTTTTGAGTTAAGTTCAGTGTAGCAAATAAGCTCTCTGTAGTTAACCATCTGTGCTCGTTGTTGCACATAACCTAACTTTACTCAAGTGTTACTTACCAATAAGTATCCATATCTAGTGGAAAAACTATTTGCTTTTACTTAAGCATTCCGTCGTATCGCAGTTTTTCCAGATATAGCCAAAGTAACTGCATACTGGCGGTAAAAATTCGTATTATATATGGTGATGATCTTGACGAAATGTTAATGAGCGGTATTAGAAGAAGGGTATAGGCTTTATTATTAGTGTTGTATAAATTCCTTTACATTCTTTAGATGGTATGGCTCAACTGGTTCACGAAAATGGCAATAGTGACACAGTAGACTTCAGTAAGAAATTCTCTGATTATTGCATTGCTGTTAGGTGTAGTAGCCTGTTCATTTAGTTACGACTTAACAACTATTTGATGATAAATAGGAAAACTGAAAATTACTATCAAGTGTACGCGTAGCACACAGTGTGACCCGGTATTCTCTCATAATGTTTTTGCCTATCAAAACTAAAAACCGCAAAGAAAAACTAGAATTATCTGGCTACATAACAATTAATTACAGAATGTTCGTAAAGGTCGAAGGTAGCGCGAATACGCACCACGTACTGAAAATGTTCTAACCGTAGAAGACATGACAAAATTACTGAGACAAGTTAATACAAGCTTTGAGTGACAAAGATCGAACTGTTGGCCCTAATAGTGTCAAAATTGGACCCATATACACTTAAAGCAAGGTTTAATGATACATATCGTAATATTTCTAAAAATATATGTACCTACAAAAATAAGGAACATTCCATGTAATTGTATAATAGCACCTTGCTGGATGACGGTGATAAGTTATCATCGCCGAGCACGGTTTTACGATTTGCCAGTTCCACTCTCGTTACAAACAACAGAATATATGCTAGATTGTCTTGATCGTTAACAGGTGGATGAAAAAATCAACTGACACGTAATCGTAAAGCACATCTAATTCCATATTTAAAGCTCTGTATGTGGTCCTATGGAATTATGAACTCGTTCTATGTTGGCACATTTATCTTTGCTCCTATAATAATAGAGCTGACCCCGAAACTGCAGACTTGTAATGGTGTGACTACATAATCTATAAGATCTTACGTTGAAGGCACATTATAGTTTACACTGACTCGTTCTACTGTGATAATCAGCTTTTTAACTTCTAGCACTTTTAAAGAACACGTTTCTGTTTAAAAGATAGAAATATATTTGATGCGAAAGGCAATAGGTTACGTAGAGTGACCATGCCTGCATTGCGGAGCCATGCCATACCTAACAGTTGTTCATATGTTTACCATTTTGGACGTTTTCTAAGTGTTACGTGTTGAATGTGAATTTTTTCATTAACTATATGCTCTATTTCAAAGATCGTATGGTTAGAAACCGAAACAACTACAATCCATTTTAAATGTTTTGCGTATGAAAACCTCTCCACGTATACACTTGTGATTTATTCTGCAAGATTCTTTCAGATGTACACTTCGCTGATCTTTTGATTAAATTTGAGATAGTAATGTTTATGTTCTATCGTACCTTTTGTTTTTCTTATGTCTTTGACGAATTTACATGTTTTTTCTCAACTGCATCCATGTTGTTTGGGTTTATATCTGATAATGATGGCTGTCATCGATTCACTTCTCTTTATGATTGTGTTGTTTGGGTCGAATGAAGATGTGCGTTGTTGAAAATCAATTGAAGTACTGTCCCATTACTGGAAACAACAAGAGAAAAATTAAATGTTGTCTTTCAATCGATTTGTACGTGGTCTATTCATAAAATAAAGAAGATTTTTGTTTTTATAAGAACGTTTATTTGTAGCATTTGGTAATCTTCTTATATCCTATATCAATTTGTCTGTATAATATGATTCGGATTTGACTACTGATTGGATGACTGATTGAGAATATTTGTTCAGGTAATAATGTACATTTAAATTTATAGGGGAATTTACGACATTACCGTCCCTAATACTCTGTTTCGGTTGTGACTGGGCAAGGACGTAAAGTGTCAGCTGAAGACGAATATTTAGAACGTAAGACAAACACAATAAAAGTACTCGAAGTTGAGTCATAAAATTGAGTAGAAGTATTAGGGTCAGCGACGCAATTGGAATCTTATCAACTAACTAATGGATTAGCTTGACGTAATCTGCATATTACAGTATAAAGGTTAGATTTCCTAAGGTCACTTAAAAGCCGGGTTGTTTCTCACCCAATAAGTATGAATGTATTGTCTGTCATACGTATCGCTAAAAAACTACCAACATAAGAAAATATTACAGTTAGGCCCACTATGGACGGATATGGTCTATTAGTTAAGTATGTAACACAGCTTCTAGAGGTAAGATGATTTAAGTGTGTGCAGTTCTTTGTACACAAAACTTTCACTGATGCACAATGTTCTCTGATTCTAAGTTACCCAGGCATGAGGAAAAGAGTTTTAAAAACACGCTTAGTCAGAAAAAGTCATGGATTCCAAAACATATGTTGCTTCTGTTGTTTATATACTCCATTGCCCATTTCTGTGCTCAACCAAATACAAGTTTATACGATCGTAGTCATTGTCTCTAAATTTCATAATTTCATATTAAAAACTAAGTTGTTGTAATTTAAAACACCAGTAAGTAATAGTAATAACAGCCATAATATGACATGGTACACTCTAACTTGTTTGTGACCAATAAGGCATAGTATACATTACTTATAACCAGGTTTTTATTTCTCAGAAATTCAGATGTGCGCTCACCACGAGCAAAAATAGATTGACCTACGGGTTATTTGATGGAGCGAAGAAGTGTGAATATAAAAATAAAAGCGATAAAAGGAATAACACACCTATGTGTCTTAACAAGCGATATTTAAATTCCTAACATTGGTGGGTGGTTAAATGTTTGATGTATAAAAAGCCTTAGTATTTTGTGCTCGTATCAATAACAATCAAACTGGAAGATCACACATGTGAAAGGATTCTGTTATACTATATAAATATATCACCTTTTATGCATATGAATGTTTTTCACGTGATAATGGCGCCAATTTCATGAATTTAGTGTGGGCAACGGACGACGATTGGTTCGACACGAGTGTAGTTGTAAAAACAATGCTCTAAACTCAATGTCCTCAATACACAGTGGACGGGTTGTTTATGTCAGTGCTTATACATGGCTGATTAGAAGTTACTGAGCG